TATAAAACATTTAAAATACTAAATTTATTTATAAAAATAATTTTTTTTTTAGACAATAGATAAACTACCAGTTAAAAACATATCATAAGCCATATATAGATCACACAATAAATCTTATTTTAGGTAATGTGTGCTAATATTTTTTTTAATCATAACTAGTTTTTTATTCTAGAAATTTTTGATAAAGTGACTTCCTAACCTCAACGTTGCAAGAGATATGATCATAATATCATGTTATATCGTTGGTTTCCTTTTAAAAATTATGCCTTTTCAGGTATTCAAGAGTTTTTTTAATTTAATCTATTTATTATTATTTTATTAAAATAAAACTATTTTATTTAACCCAATTTTGTTCTTCTTTATAAAACACATTTACAGAAAAAAAAAAAAAAAGAAGATAAATCCCGCGGGGAAGAGCAGGTCCCCAGCGATTTTATCAGATTCCCTACGGCACCACCAAATGTTGATAGCCTTTGTCATCTTCCCTTGAAAAAGAACGATTCCCTTGAAAGAAGAAAGGCCATGAGACATCTTTGTCATTTCCCTCTCCTTCCACGAAATGGGATGTGGGAGTTCAACTGGCACCTTAATCGAAATTTGTTATTGAGTACATTTATATTATAGTTTTTAAAACTGTTTCGGTTTAAGGTTTGTGTTTTGCATTTTAATCACATCATCAAATTTTAATTAGATTATCAGATTAGTTGGGTTAATTTTTATTTTAAAAAAATTTAAAATAATATTATTTGTAAAAACAAAAAATCAATAAATTACAACATAATTTTTAATAGGATTTTACTAGGTCAACTCACCTAGTTTCGGATCAACACATTAAAACACATTAGACCTGAACTGTTTCAAAATTATAATTTATATTATTATTTTTACCCTTGATACAAAGCAATTTTCAGAGATTTTACAGGTACGGGAGAGATGAGAGAAGAATAGTAATAATTTTTTTCTTTAAATTAATTTTAAAAATATTTTTAGATTGTTATGATATATTGATATAAAAAATAAATTTTTAAATATAAATTATTTTAATATATTTTTAAATAAAAAATACATCTATTAAATATGTTTTATATTTAATTGGATGTGTAGGAAAAATATTTATTAATATGTATTTGGTAGAGGGTTAAAAAAGAACAATATTACGTTATCAACAATTAAGTTGATTTTTGGAAATTAAAAGACACGTAATGAGTAGGAAAAAATACATATTAATAAGTATTTGATAGAGGGGACGGCTGGTAGAGGGTTAAAAAAAAGAACAATATTACATCATTAACCATTAAGTTGATTTTTGGAATTTAAAAGACACGTTTGACAATATTACTGGCTGGCTAATTATTAGGGATAATTAATACATGGTTAAATTGATTGTTTTAAATTAAAGACGTGTTTGACCACCAATATTATGTAAACCCAAAACTTGAGTAAGCTTGGTAGCTTGTAATTGTTGTTTTAAATATTTATTTGGAAGTGCAGTTACTGTAATTTTTAAAAGTATTTTTTATTTATAAATATATTAATTTTTTTAATATAAACTAAATAAAAAAGTTTAAATTTTTTTTAAAATATTTTAAAAACATAAAAACAAATAAAATCTTTAATAAACCCAGAACTTGTTCACGCCTCTGTGATTCTTCCTTGTTTGCAGTTTCTAGTGACTCCTTTAACTTCATTATTTCTTGTGATCTAGTGTTTGACGCCATAGTGGAAGTCCAAGAATTAGAGTTCATTGGGGATTTTACTGTATTTTTTAAACATTTTAGTTTTTTTTATTTTTAAATTGTTTTGACATGCTAATTTAAAAAATAATTTTTTAAAAATAAAAAATTATATTATTTTAATATATTTATAAAAAAATATTTAAACTATAACCATTTTCGTAACTCCAAAGAGATCCTTATAAGCTCTAAGAGGCAATGCATAAGATAATAGAAGAATATTATTGAATGTATTAAAATAGGGAAGAAGGAGAGGAGAAAACAAGAGAGATGGAGGAACTCTTGTGCATCATTCATTCATTTCTTTTTGCATAATTCCAAGTGAAGAAGAGCTACAGTAGTGATTAAACAAGAACCAGCTAATTAAAGATCCCCCACCCCCCCTAATCAATATCAATTCATAGCCTGTGAACGGCTGTCAAGAAGCAACAGTAGAATTGACAAAAGAAAAACAAATAAATTAAGGAATTAATCAGAAACCACAAAACCACATCGTAAGTTGATATTGAGTAGCAATGTAGCATAATAGAATATAAAAAAGATGGCTGCCTTCTCATAACACAGTTAAGGTCTTGTATTATAATACGAAGATGACCGTATACACAAGAGTATAAAATTGACCAAGGAGGTTGACATATTTTAATCCAATTGCATTTACTGTTGAACAATTTATTAAAGTATCCATCGTCCAAAACATTGAGAAAAGGACAGTCAAGATGTCATGGCAGATCACAGATTTTTATTTATCAATCTTTTAGGAAGAACATCATCAGCATAATACTATTTCTTCTTTAAATAAAAAATAAAAAAAACCCTCTGGAACCACATTGGAGCATGAGAGATGACGTCTGTTGAAGCAGAGAAATGGCAGAAAGTTAGGACCCATTTCTGGCCTTCATTGTTTTTTCCAAACTCTTCCTCAGCTATTAATTAACAAAACACAGATCCGTCGGGTGAAAACACTCTATATATACACAAGCACTTCCTACTCTCTCTCGTAATTCAACGGGGGTTCAAGTACCGAGTCGATCTTACTTGTATTGCAAAATTAATGTTAACTTGCTTTTATTTGTTAACCAATAATAAAATTTTAAAAAATAAACAAAGTGAAGAAAATAAATGGTGGTTTTAAAATTAATAAGAAAATTTTAATCAATCCTTTAATTTTTCTAGATAATTAGGTAAAAATCAATATATTTTTATTGGATATTATTTATATATTTTCATATCAATTTTTTTTAAATTTTATTAATATAAATTTAAATCAGGAAGTCTTTTTATTCTAATAAATAAGTGTTATCCTTTAAAATGTAAAGACACTGATTATCTAACATACAGTACTTAAACTAAATTTAAAATAGAATATTATTTGGTTTGTTTTACATTGTGTTTTAAAAATATTTAATTTTTTTTATTTTAATTTAAATTAATATATTTTTAATTTTTTCATATTATTTAATATAATAATATTAAAAATAATTTTTAAAAATTAAAAAAATTAATATATTTTAAAATAAAAAATAATTTAAAAAACAACAACAATTACCCCTGAAAATACTTATCAATCTTATAAAAAACATGAACCCCTCCCAAACCACATTAAAGCATGAGGTGACGTCTGTTAAATCAGAGAAATGGCAGAAAGTCATTTCCATTTTCTGGCATTTATTGTTTTATCCAAACTCATGCTCGACTATTAATTGACTAAACGCTGACCTGTCAGGTGAAAACACTGTATACACATGCACTCTCTACTCGTAATTCAAAGTGAGTTCAAGTACCGAGTCGATCATATATTGCAAAATTAGGTAAAGATTGAACCAGCAACAAAATTTAAAAAAGAAGAACCAATGTAAAAATGAAAAAAATCGAAAATAAATAATGATTTAAAATTAATATGAAAATTTCAATTTAATTTTTTCAAAATAATTAAATAAAAATTAATATATCTTTATTAAATACTATGAAACAAAAATATTCTTTTATGCTCAATATTTCAAAGACTTACACTAAAAAAAATCTTCTTAACCCAATAAATAAATGTTATTTTTTAAAATAATAATATTTAGTATATAATCTTTAAGTTTGGACATGAAAGGGGATCGGAGTATACTATTCGTTGGCTTGCTCCGGTGCACAGACGCTGTGTCTTATTTTCCTGACTTTGACTTAAATAGTCAATACTTGTCATTTAATCCTACAAGAATTTTCAGGTTGTCTTTGCCGATCAAAATTTGGAACGGTGCACTTAGGATTTTTAAGAGAATCTTTTTCTCTTAACATTATTTGATTTTTTTATTTATTTTCGAGTTGGATTCTTTTTAATATATTTGTTTTCAAACTTTTAATGTGTGTACTTATATGCATAATTATTTAAACAAAATGTATATATCAATATTTTTATATTTAATATTATATGTTTGAAGAGTAAAATGGTTATCTTATTTGAATTTCATAAAAATTTCCTAAGATATACTAAACACGGTGGGTACATATTATTATTGAAAATTCCCATTCTAAAAAAAAAAAGCATATACTTTTTTTTTTATCTAAATTATTTTCAATTGCATTAAATTTAAACAAAGATATCAATATTCACAGAGAAGCATCACAAGAGAAATTCAGCAGCTTCCACTAAAATTCAAATATGAAATTATCACATGAACAGCAAATCCAAGAGACCCAAACCAAACCTCAATGGTCATATCCAACATTTATATCGTTTAAAGCACATTCACTTGCTAGTGGCACAAAGGTCCAGGTATTTTTTTCTTCTTTGATGGCACCTCCAAGCTTGGACCCACCTTTCTTGTAAGAAAAGTACTCCGGTAGACCGTCCAATTAAGAATGCAAGAAAAGTCTAGTTTGCGACCATAAAATAAGAGACGAGTACTGTTCTGCAAAGCCATTGCTGTGGTGCTAGTTTCCTCCTATAAATAGTGATACAAACCCACTTACTTAGACCATCGAATCCAAACTTAAGAAGTCCCTAATTAGTTACTGCGCGCTTCTACTAATTCTAATCATGCCTGCCGCTGTGTTGCATGTAGCCGAAGGGTTTACTTTACCAGAGACCAAACAGCTTTCACCCACCTACGAAAATCCCATTTCCACTCAACCAACCGTCCCTGAGGCTGAGCTGTGTGATGGCTCTATCCCTATCATTGACTTGGAAGCCCTTCATGGTCCTCGCCGTTCCCATATCGTCAAACAACTCGGCCATGCGTGCCAACACAAAGGTTTCTTTGCGGTAGGTTTTTCTTAAAAAAATGGATTCATTGCATTAAAAATTAGATCTAGCACCGTGAGAAGCACATCAAATTGAAGAAAATCATTAGCGGCGTGCCCAGAAAATGAGAAAAGAAGAAAAAGAAAACGAATCACACCAGGAAATCTAGCTTCTATTATATGAATTCTCCAGGGTAGAGAAATACGTTGTTTGCAGTGTTTTTGGTGACCTTTCCCAACAGCTTTGTCTCTCCAGCGACCTGCGGTTCTAGCTGCTAATTTTTTTCTTTATTTAAGCTGTAGTTGTAGCTTGGTATATAATATTCTGTTATGTATGAAAATAATCTTTAATTTGGTAATATTTTTTTTTTGGTAATATGTATGAAAATAATCTAGCTAGTTCTAACAAAAAATTTAATGTTAAACTGTCAGGTGAAGAACCATGGAATTCCAAAGACAACTGTTAACAACATATTCGACACATCAAGGGAGTTTTTCCATCTGCCGGAGGAAGAAAGAATGAAATTCTACACTCCTGACCCTAACAGTGACATCAGGCTAATGACAGCGTATAAAGATGAGGTTGAAAATGTCTTCGTCGCAAGGGAATCTTTGAAATTCCATTGTCACCCTGTTGAAGATTATGTGAACAAATGGCCTACAAATCCTCCTTCATTCAGGTGAACGAAAGCACAGATTGTTATTTTAGCCATGAATGACTCAAATGGGGTAGCCTCGACACGCATGGCGATTCTGTTTTAGATTATTTGTGTCTTTTTTTCTTTTCTTTTTTGACATTTGATTGTTGACAGGAAGAAAGCTGCTGAGTATTTGAGAAATGTTAGAAGGGTGGAGATGACACTACTTGATGCAATATCAGAGAGCTTAGGCCTGGAAAGAGATTACATAGAGAAGAGATTGGGTGGACATTATGTATCATTGAACTACTATCGAGCTTGTGAACAATCAGAACTAGAGCTCACTTACGGAGTGCGTAGCCATACTGATCCAACTATAATAACTATGCTGTTGCAAGATGATGTGCCTGGACTTCAGGTTCTCAGTGAGGGAAAGTGGATGGATGTTAATCCTATTCCAGACACAGTGGTTGTCCATGTTGGAGATCTTCTGCAGGTGATTTATATTCTATCTATAAATGTCTTCTGTTAAAATGTACACTAATCCAAAAAGCAACTAAAATATAAACGATTCCTTAATTACTATTAACATTCAAAGCCCTCTTTATGGAAACTATAATATATTGCCATAACATGACTTACTTTCCATGTTGTTATAATTACATTTTTTTCTTATGTTTCTATTGTATCAGGCAATTAGCAATCATCGATACAAGAGTTTGCTCCATCGAGCTACTGTAAATTGCGAGAAGGAGCGTATGTCCATTGCCTCTTATTGTTATCCGTCATCTGATGCTACAATAGGACCTCCTAAGAAGTTGATAGACAATGATCATCCAGCAATCTATAAAGATTTCACATTCGGAGAATTCAGTAAACAGATGTGGAAAGTGATAACGCCAACTGATAAGCGCCTGGACTTTTTCAAGTGCTCTGCTGCCTGACCATTTTAGCTTCTGAGATGGCACGCACGTGTCTAATAAGAGAACATGTAGCAGTGTTGCTGAATATATAATAATTAATATATAATAACTTTCAGTTTTTTTTGGTTAAATAATAGTCCAAGTCAATGCCCCAAATACTTACAAGAGTGAACCCAACTGATGTAATTTTGTAGTTGTTCTTAAATTGATCAGTCAAGGTAAATTATTTAGCAAATAAAATGTTGCATAGTAAATTTAATTTTGAAAAAGCTAGAGGGTATTGGTAGAGGATTTTCAGTGTCAATATATCTCCTTACTTGTGTAATTGACTTAATTTAATCCATCAAATAAATCCTACTTGATTCGCAATGTTGTGTGGTATTTTGAGTATTGACATCAAACTGATCAAAGCTGCGTGACTGATTGCATTCATACTTGTCAGGAAATTGGGGTTTCTTTGGATAAATTGCTACCAAACCCTTTATATATCTCTAAGTTTTTTGAATAGATTATAGGTAATAATATAAATTATATTTTAAAATTTTATTTAACAATTTAATTTATTAAATTAAGATAATTCTTTAATATGATATTAGAATTTTGATAACTAAATGATCACGAATTCAAATCTAATTATCTCTATTTATTTGATAAAAATTAAACACAAAGTAATATAAACCTATATAAGTTTCAAGTTTAAAAAACTTGTATTTAAAAAAGTATATTAAAAAATAATATAAATTATATCTTAGGACCATATCTAATAATTTAAATTATTATGTTGAGATGATTCTTTGATATAAATAATTTTTTTAATTAATAAATCCAAAATAAATCAGAAGAATACCTTTTATTTTATCTATAAAATAGCATACTGACACCGATTTAAAATGTTTGTGATGTTTGGTTTTATTCAAAAAGCTTTTAAAAAATACAGGATCATTTGTAAAATATTTTGGTACACTTAAATAAAAATTATTTTCAGGCCTAAGCTCTCTGATATTGAAGATAAGCAAGAGACAAGGGAGTGACTACAAATAGCACGAGATTAAGAATATTTTTTTTTTAAGATCCATCTTAGGTAATATCTTCATTAATTATAAGCAAGAGCACAGAGGCAATTAAGATCCCAGATAAAGATTAAAAAAAAGAAGAAGACTCCTCCTGTACGCGCACGTTGCATTTCTTAATTTCATATACTTATTTTATGTCGTAATTTGTTCATCTCCCTCGTCACCTTGCTTTCAAAGGTCAGCAGGCCTTTTTTCATATCTCTCTAATCATTTGATTCGATTTCTGTATCAAGATGACATGAAAAGGGATAACGTAGAAGGCAATGTCTTCTATATGTATAATCAAAGATCAAATAAAGTTGTAAATTAGGGCTTGGCCTAGCGGTGAAAGGGGCTTATCTCCTTCTATTGCACCTGGGTTCGAGCCCTAGCGTGCATGTCTGTCACCCCTGCGGTGCCTTACATGCCTACTGGGTTTGCAGGGTATTCAGTGGGCCGTGAGGATTAATCGTGGTGCGCGCAAGCTCGCCCGGACACCCCATGTAAATTAAAAAAAAAAAGATCAAATAAAGTATTAATTATCTAGTAGGTAGTCTAATAATAAAAATTTAAGATTAAAAAATTTATTTTTCTTATAATTTCAAGTTCGAGCATTATGGTTATAAATATAATAACTATTAGAGACTTACATAATCGTTAATTTTAAGGCCTGTTAGATTAGTCAAAATGCATACAAGCTGGTTCGGACACCCATGTTAATAAAAAAAAACAATCAAACGTAGTAACTATCTAACAGGTGGCCTAGTGGTAAAAGCTTGGGACCATGAGGTTTGCTCCCCTTGTGGTCTTAAGTTTGAGCTCTGTGCTTGCTAATATAATAGTCACTAGAAGCTTACATGACCATTACCTTCAAGATCCATAGGACTAGTCGAGGTATGTATAAGCTGATCTAGATACCCATGTTAATAAAAAAAGAAAGAGAAAAGAGATCAAATACAGTAAAATAATGCAAATATTGAGTAACCTATTCTTTCATTTCTATATGTACAATTTGTTGGGATTTAATTGAATTTCTATGATTGTGTTTAAACAAAATTCCTATGTTTTGTTTTGGAGATGGATGTATGATGATGCAGGTGTTATCGGGATTCAAATAGGTTTTTTTTTTAATTATCATCTTCATTTCACTTAATCATCATAGTTGAGAATAATAAAATGTGTTAGGTTGTGCCTTAGCCAACCTTCCTATTTATATATACGCAGCAGAAAATGGCAGTAACTGTAGGGATTACAACATTGAAATAATCCCATATTAATTTTTTATTCTGATATATACATACAATACATTCTATAATATACTCCCTCAAGCTGAGGGTGGGGAATTAACTCGAAACTTGAACTAAAAAGCAGTAAAGGATGCAACAGGAAGCGCCTTAGTGAAGACATCGGTAAGTTGACCCCAAGAAGGAATAAAACAAATCTGAATCTCTTTCTTGGTAACACGGTCGCGGATAAAATGATAATCTACTTCAACATGCTTAGTACGAGCATGGAAGATAGTATTTGCTAAGAGACAGGTCGCACCAAGATTATCACACCAAATGGTAGGAGCAGAAATTGAGGGAACCTGCAAATCTATTAACAAGTATTAAAGCCAAATGACTTCAGCGGTACCATCAGCAAGGGCTTTATACTTAGCGTTAGTAAAGAAGCGAGCAACTATGCATTGTTGGCTAGATTTCCAAGAAATTGACATCTAACCAAAAAAAGAAAAGATAGCCACTCGTAGACTTACGATCGTCAATACTATCAGCCCAATCTGTATCTGTAAATCCATGTACAGCAAAAGAGGAACCTCGAGTAGTATGAAAACTATAAGATGTCATACCTTTAAGATAGCATAGAATACGCTTAACAACAACCCAATAAGAATCTGTAGGAGCATGCATAAACTAACAGACTTTGCTAACAACAAAACAGATATATGGACGATAAGATATTGAAGAGCACCCATAATTTGATCCGATAATATAGTGATTTTTGAAGGGGAGACTGGAGTATCAATGGGTTTGTAGAAAGTCACAAAAACTCAAGTGAGGATGTCAAGAATATATTTATGCTGACGAAGCATTAAACCCATACCGATAGATTGAACTTCAATACCCAGAAAGTAGTGAACAACACCTAAGTCATGAAACTTGAACTCAAAGCTTAGTAACCATATTAGGTAATGAAGCATAGCAGAGTTAATTGTTACCCATAAGTAGAATATCATCAACATATACCAGGAGATAAAAGATATTAGTACCATCAGATAAGATAAATAGAGAGGTGTCAACCTTAGAAGCCCGAAAACCAATGAAGAGCAAAAAATCACTTAAATGAGTGTACCATGCTCTCGGTACCTATTTTAGACCATACAATGATTTGTGCAATCTGCACACATGAGATGGAAGAGAAGAGTCAACAAAACCTGGAGGCTGTTTCATGTAGACCTCTTTAGTAAGAACACCATTGAGGAAGACATTATGAATATTAAGCTGATGAATCTTTTAATTTTGCAAAACCGTGATAGAGAAAACCAATCGGATGGTGGCCTGCTTAATAACTAGGTAAAAGATTTCAGAATAATCAATGCCTTCCTGCTAGGTAAAACATCTAGCAACAAGGTGCGCTTTATAGCGCTCGATACTACCATCAACATGATGTTTGATTCGATACATCCATCTATTGCCAACAACGTTCATCGAATGATGAAAGGGAACCAAAGACCAAATACAATTAGAGCGTAAAGTGGCGATCTCATAACATATAGCATTATGCCAAATTGTATACCGGTCAACATAAGAAAATGCAAAGGGCTCAGAAGAGGGAGAATACAGTACATTTGTAGAGGTAGAGGCGGTGGCAGCTGAAGCAACTAGATTTGCTGTTTTCAGCTACCGTGGTCTAAGAATTATAGGATGCCTGCTGCTCGCTGGTGGAGACGTAGGGGAAGATAGTGGCAGTAAGGAGACTTATAGCAGCTGATAAGAAGATATATCAACCAGAAGTTGCAGACTAGTTGGATAAGATGATGAAGAAGCAACCGCAACCACAAACTTGTCAGCAGAGGAGGGGCTGTAAGCAGAGATCGAATTTGCAGGAACATTGGCCAAGAAAAGCGAAGTAGAGGAGGAACTAGAGAGTGCTTCAAGACGAGGACGATATGAAACCAATTGATGAGCTGAACCTGCATCATAATGGTTAGATAAACAAGCATGAAATGATAGGCAAGGGATGGGAGGAGGTTGTGGTTGGGTGGTTATTTGGAGTGGCAGAGCTGAATGCTGATGGCTATATAGGTGGCTGTTAGAAGTGGGTAGTGGTGGGTGGTGAAGCAGAATCGAGAGGGTGACAGTAACGAGTTGGGTAGGGGTTGTGTTTGAGATCTTTGCAATATATTTAGAATTATCAAATGAAAACTTATGTTTATAAAAGCAAACATGACAGGAAATATAAATATGGTGAGATGCAATGTCAAAACATCGTTAACCAAGATGCGAGGAACTATAACCAAAGAAGACACATGGAAAGGAATGAAAATCCAATTTATGATTAGTATATAGACGTAGAAAAGGAAAACAGAGACACCTAAAAGTACGCAAAAAATGATAACCAGGAGACCATTGAAATAAAAAATCAAACGGAGATTGATGGGCAAAAACAGGAGTAAGCATGCGATTTATAAGATAAACAGAGGTTTCAAATTGCACTAAAAAAGTAATACCTATTTTTACAACATGCCTATGACGATGCTCTACTATGCCATTTTGTTTATGAGTGTGAGGACAAATCAAATGATGATGGATACCAATAGTCTGAAAAAAGGTGGATAGTTTGCGGTATTCACCGCCCCAATCAACTTGAGCAAATTTTACTTTTAATGAAAGTTAACATTCAATGAGAGTTTGAAATTAATGAAAAACAAAGTAAACATCAGACTTGGCAACAAGATGATAATACCATACATATTTAGTATAAGCATCAACAAAGATAACAAAACAATGATAACCATCTGGAAAAAAAAAAAGAGGGAGTAGGGCCCCATACATCACTATATATTAATTTAAACGGAGCAGAAGTTTTGTAACCCATAGGTTCTAAAGACAAACATGAGGATTTTCCTAAATGACAACTTTGACATTGAAAATTAAGATGTTTGTTGTTACAAATGATCTTATTTTTCAAGACTAACAGTTAAAAAATACGTGGAGTAAGATGACCTAGTTGATGATGCCATGAATTTGTAAAAAAAGAAGTGTAGGGAGACCAATAGGCTTGAGGAACTGACGTGACAGAAGACTTGGTTAGGGCATAGAGACCATCTTTACTCTGACTTGAGAGAAGGACTTTATTGGTGTTGACATAAAACACACGAGGGTGAAATTTAAAATAAAAATTATTATCAAGATAAAATTTTTGAACAAAGAGTTGAGGTTTAATGACTACAAGAACATGAAGAACATTAGATAAGGTGAAAGAATGAGGTGGTGTATATATTTTTGTATGACCGAGATGAGATATAAGAAGGCCTTTACCATCATCAGCATACAAATTATCATTACCAAGATACGGTTCTGAAGCAATCAAGGTGGCAAGATCAGGTATGACGTGTTGATTGGCACCGATATCAAAAAACCAATCAACGAAACTTATTGAGGAGAGATTGCGCTGCACCAGATTGGCAATAGATTGTTGGCCATAACCTCGTTGCTGGAATTGAGGACAGCGGGGAGTAGTATGATTGAAATTCTAACACAATTAGTAGCATGGATTCTGCCCCCAATTGCGCTGCCAATTACCCTGCCATATGCCTTGTTGACTGTCATCGAAGGAGGAGCTTTGGAAGCTGTAGTGATTAGGTCTGGAGCTAGTAAAACAATTACCTCTACTGCTAGACTGGTTGGGCTGCCAGCCACCATCAAAGCGGTCCCTGCTGTGGCTAGAATTACCAAAGGTTTGGTGTTGCGCAACAAGGATAAATGGTAAAGAGTTCGGTGTAGGTAGCAAATGAGCATGGATAACAGCTAAAGATTTGTGAATAAATTCATGCGTAAGAAGATGACTATAAAGATCTATATACGATAAAGGTTCAGCCTTGGTAATAAGATTTGTAACTAAGTCTTTAAACTCTCCTCGAAGACCGAAACACATATAAATTGAAATCTTCAAGCGAAACTGGCTTGCCATCAGTGGCCAATTCATCAAACAAGGCCTTAACTTTTTGCATAAATTGAGTTACTGATTCATCACCCTGTTGAAGATCCTGAAGAGGCCATGAAGTTGCATAATACGAGAGTTTGAGGTAGAAATGAGAGCTTGCACAAAAATGCGCCAAGCAGAACAAGAGTTTTGGCAGCCAACAACAAGATGTAGAACTTTCATGGATAGGGAGGAAAGAAGAGCACTTAGAATAAGTTGGTCCTGAAGAAAGAGTAGATTTACCTTAAAAGAGATATCATCTCTAGCAAGAACATATGGAGATGGACATATGTTGGAGCCATCAATAAAACTGAAAACTCCTTGACCTAGGAGATACGGCGGCATCTCCATACATCAATATAAATAATTAGTGTTTGTTAATTTAAGGGAGATGATTTAATGAGTGTGAGATAGGGAAATGATGTTTGCGGTAGCAGAGATAACAACTGCATCAGATGCAGGCTGCAAGAAGGGAGTATCATAAGAGTTGAAGAGAGGTTATTCACTAGCCATGGCAAATGAGAAAACAGGTGGTGAGGCAGTAGAGGAGGTCTAAGGAGCCGCTGTAAGAGAAGAAGTCTAAACTGCCGGAGAAGAATACTGGACTGCTGGTGCTGCAGAAGAGGAAGAAGTATTGAGTGGCTATTCCATTATAGAGGAGGCTGTGAGGAAAGTGTTTTAATTAGTTTAGGGTTCTGATACCAAGTTGAGAATAATATAATGTACTAGGTTGTGCCTTAAGGTATCACTTACAAGAATTTAGGCATCGTGGACAACCAAGTGGCCGTGAAGAAGTATTTAACCATGCACACTCATCACTACGCAACGTCATCAAACATTCTTTTGGGGTATGGAAACAGAGGTGGAGAATTTTGCAAAACATGACTGCTTATGCATATAAAACGCAACTTGAGATTGTAGTTGCATCAATAACACTACATAACTATATTAGAAGGCGATTGCAAGATGATGAGGTTTTTTCAAGTATGATTGCAATCTCAATTTCATTCTAGATGACTTTTTACCAGATATTGTACCTCGCTCAGCTATTCGAGGATTTCAGCGGCTTTCATGTATGGATTTTGTACAAGATGGAATTACAAATAGTTTGATGGGACAATGAAAAACTTTTATTAATGTATAAGGATTATTCATTTGGTTATGTAATCATAATTACAAAATAACAATATTTTGCCTATATTTATTTATTTATTTATTTATTTATGTATTTATGTATATATAATTATAATATACTTTTCAATAGTTTTTTAATCAAATTTCATACAAAAAGCATATTAACCAAACACAATAAACCATTTTTTTCAATTATAATTTCAATTAAATTTTTAACCAAACACTTCAAAATTCATAATAAAACTCATAAAAAACATTTTTTATTAAATTGTTTTTTTTTAAATTACAACCACAACAACAACCACAATACTAAATAAATCTTAATTCAAAAATTAAGCCAGCTGGCCTCAATCTCAACCGTTCTTCTTTTTCTTTTTTCTTTTTTAAATTTTTATGGATTAGATTAAGTCTATTCATATTTAATCATTCTCATTAACCAACTATTCACGCATGTTTAATCCAGCCAACCCAGCTTGGACAGTTGCCCAGCCTACTGACCAAGCTAGTCATTGTTATTAACCAACCATTGACGCATGTTTGCAATAGTAACACGGTAATTAAATTTGCCAAAAGCAGGGAAGAAGAGTTGCCTGGTGTGTTGCTGTTTGAGGCGAAGCTGATGGTGATGGAGTGTCTGTTTGATCAAGTGGCGCCTCGGCGATGACCTCCTGGTCTGCTCTCTGCTTCTGTCTCTACTTTTATAGGGCTGGATTTCATCCACGAACTTCATCCCTTATCTTATAGGATGACGATCTCATGGATAAAGATAAACATAGCTCGGGTTTGCTCCGTGTTTGCTGGGTACAAAAAGTCAACTGTACTACCATTGTTGGACTGTTGGTGATGCTTATCTTCATGTCAGGGGAGAGTCGTGAGGACGTGGGATAACGAGGATTGATGAGGGTAATTGTTCTAGCTGAAGCCATTTCGGTGGCATCACCGAACGGACTTCCCCTGCTTCCAGAGGAAGAGTATCCATCGTATAAAAATATAATAATTACAAATATTTTTTGTATAAAAATATTTTAAAAAGTTGCTATAAAAAAGATGAAAATAAAAAAAATGTTTTAAATAAAGGTAAATGATAGAACTTGATAGAAATATAAATATACCATAAAAATTAATTAGTTGACCCTATAGTCGGATAATAAACTTGATTATTTGGTCCTCTAGCTAGTTGGCCAATAAAATTTAGAGTGTCATATGGCTTTGCATAGTAAACAATCAAGCCATTATTTTGTTACAAGAGAAAAAATATTTTTGTAAATCCGATGCAGGCCATCCTATTGATTAACAACGCAATGCTAAGATCCTGTGATATTTCTAGTTGCTATAATTTATTTATTTATTTAATTCATCTTAATTTCATCTTAATTCTGAGAGAGAACGTTTATCCATTGTTTCCTTTTGATTTCCATCAAATGATTCTAAAATAGGACCTCTTAATAAACTGATCAATGATGAGCATCCAGCAATCTATAAAGATTTCACGCATGAAGAATTGTACTCTGAAATATGGAAAGGAAGTCGTCTAGATGATAGCCGTTTGGAGCAATTCAAAGCTTGAGATTTGAATTAAATGCTAGAAATTATATTACATATTTTATTTTGCATTTGCTTATAAGAGTATGGTGAATTTGTTATCAAACATGAAATTTAACTAGTTTCTTGTTCATTTTATTAATTAATAAATAATATAAATTATATCTTAAAATTTTAATTAATAAATAAAAATTTTAAATCAAAATAGTTATTTAAAACCTCTTAAACTTGATGATTGGATGTTTGGGTGGTGTTGTCCCTTCCACAAAGTTTTTAAAATTTTCAAAATAGATTTTAAACTTGTTTATTTTTTAGGGTAATTTTAGAAAATAATATTGTTTGTAAATATGTGGTGCCTACTCTTGTTTTAAATATATTTTAAAAAGTTGATCTTAATTTTTCATTAGTCATTGTAAAGATGATGCACTTATACAAAGAAAATTATTAAGCCTAATTACTCAAAAAAAAAGAAAATTCAAGATGTAGGATTCATGAAAGGCTGGAAAAAAAAAAAAAAATCTTCCCCATGGAATTGGAAACTTATAATATTGCTTTCTAACTTTTTTCTATGCCACATTTCAGCAACATACTCCCAAAAAGGTATTGAATGAGGAGTGAGGAGATGAGAAGACCAAATTGTGGAAGCAAGTTGAACATCTAGAATTCAAATGTTTGCTTGGTACGTTGAATGAACAAGAATACATGGAAATTAAGGAATCCAGATAGGAGGATTAAAAAATCAAGTTGCCGGTCAAGCCACCCCAAATAAAATATTCCGGCAACGCCACCTAATTTTGGACTTTGTTAGAGCAGAAGATAAGTCAAAAGGTCTAATGTTGTCATCTTGTTAGCTTGATAAATAAGAGGAGCGATAGCAAATTGTCCGTAAACTAGTGTTTTGTCTTCTCAGTCAAAATCAGAACCAGAACTTCCATAGATAAACAAATGGCAACCTCAAGCAATGAAGAAGACTATCATCTCCAGTATGCCATGCAACTTGCAAGTGCATCAACTCTGCCTATGGTTTTCAAAGCAGTAATTGAGCTAGGAGTTCTGGAGATCATAGAAAAAGCTGGCCCTGGTGCCTTGCTCTCAGCCTCACAGATTGCCTCTCAACTTCCCTCTCAAAACAACCCTGATGCCCCTATTGTACTAGACCGTATCCTGTGCCTTCTTGCTAGCCATTCTATTCTGACTTGTTCTCTAGCCACCGAGAATCAAGATAGTGATCAAGTTCAAAGGTTATATGGATTGGCACCAATAGCCAAATACTTTGTCAAGAAGGAAGATGGAGGGTCCTTGAGTCCCTATTTTCTTGTTATTCAAGATAAAGTCACAGTGGATCTCTGGTAATATTGGATCGTCTCCAAAACTATCTTCTTCTTCTTTTCATTCCTGATTCTTTTTATGAAGAGAAACATTAAAGGATGTCGATTATAATATTTTGTAATATGTCGTATTGAAACAAACAACAGGTACCACTTAAAAGATGTTATTCTTCAAGGAGGGTTTCTATTTCAGAAGGCTTATGGGATGAGTTCTATGGAGTATGTGAAAAAGGATCCAAGATTTGGTGAAGTATTCAGTGGCTTTGTTAGAGGTTTCAACCCTTTATTTATGAAGAGGATTTTGGACATATATGATGGCTTTGAAGGTCTAACATCCTTGGTGGATGTTGGTGGTGGCAATGGTTCTGTCCTTAATATGATCATCTCAAAGTATCCTGCTATTAAGGGCATCAACTTTGATTTGGCTCCAGTTATAGAAAACTCACCATCCTATCCAGGTACTGAATTTGTTCTGATCTTATAATTGACTTTCTTCGCCTTGTTCTTTACTGGGAATGTTGAGCTTTCTGACTAATTACAGAAACAGATGAACTGAGCTGTGTTAGAAATTGTTAAATCTTTTGTTTTATTTCTATTGCAGGTATTGAGCATGTTGCAGGAGATGTATTCTTAACCATTCCTAAAGGAGAAGCCATTTTCATGAAGGTGAGATTTGATAACACTCTGTTAAATTCACGCTTCAGAGTATTGTACTCACAATCACAATATTTTTGAACGAAACAGTGGGTATCCCATTTCTGGAATGATGAGAACTTCTTGAAAGTACTAAAGAATTGCTATGAAGCTTTACCGGACAACGGAAAGTTGATAGTAGTGGAAATGGTAATTCCTGAAAGCCCCGGTACCAGTGTTGCAGATAGAAGCTTGCTGCAGAATTATTTATTCGTGACAAACATGAATCCGAAGAGAAATGAAAGGACAGAAAAAGAATTTGAACGTTTGGCCAAAGCAGCAGGGTTTTCTCATTTTCGAGTTGCCTGTTCCGCCTGTTCTTTCTCAGTTGTTGAGTTCATTAAAAAGAAGGCAACTGCTAGTACTGCTGCCATAGCAGCGAAGTGAACTGCTAAAGTTGTTACAGTTGAGTAGCCGATATATATGACGTGTATCGATAAGCCAGTCGCTGACTGTCCTTTTCTTTTTATAAATTTTTGTTATATTTATGTTTTGGGATGTCATAGTTTTTTTATTCGAGAAACAAAGATATTGTTAATATTTAATAAAATAAATTAAAAAAATATACAAATAAATAAACTAAAAAAATATTATTAATGTTAATTAAATACTAAAATAAAAGATTAATTTTCTTAGTAAAAGTATAAG